AGTGAACATCTTAATCATTCATAACAGCTCTTCAATATGTAAGGAGGGATGGCATCTATTCCCGCAGCTTTTTTGTGTTTGTTTTTTGACAGCTTTATTATAGTCAGACAAATAGTCGTTTGTCATACTAGAATTGTCGAAGTTTAAATTGTATGAAGATTTTTCTGCACAATGAACAGATGAAAAAAAATTCTGCGGTGACCTCATCTGCTACCATTTCGCCATTATGAGTAAAGCTTTCCAAGCAAGTTTTATTTGTTTCTTTACTGTTCGCAAAATTCCCGAAATGGTTTATATCTTTAGTAACATTCATTTCAAATTTTTCATGTATTGTTTTTCCTCCTTCCTAATTAGACTTTTTCTTAATTTTTCTAGGGTAGTTCTTCTCTTTCAGTAAAGTTTCAACTTCATTTGTGAACCAAATAGGATATTTGTTCATATTTTTATAAATTCAATATTTAGGAACAGTTTTGGTGGGGTACTGGTATTTCTGGCTGCTTTCTTCTAGTTTATCCATGCATTCGCAGTCCAAAAAATGTTTTATCTAGAACCTTCAACTGAAAACAAGTTCACATTCAATATCGTCTCTCAGATATTTTTTCACTTGTTCACCCTTATATCACAGACACAACCAGTATGTAACTCGACTATTTTGTTCCTTTCGAATTATAATTCAAAATATATCACCTGGATATCGCCTCGTGATTCTCTCTCTGGTTGTGTCACCTTCTGATGCCGTTCCGCACAAATTCCCTAGCGTTCATTTCTGGCCCGAAGGACCCAGACATCTAATGAAGATATATAAGTTCGGGATGGGATAGTGGCCTCATACATACGCGTCGGAATATGGTAAATGTTCCATCGCGAAACGAGGGTGTTTTATAGCACGTGTTGCATAGAAAGTTGATGTATGAAAAGTTGAGGATTCCGCCCACTGGCGCATACCGCGTCAAACCCGACATGTGTGTGTTTCTCTTAATGTCCTTGCTGAAATATGGTGAGGTCATGCCTCGGTTATGGATATGAGAGTGAGCATTTAAGTTTTGGAACTGGGGTTCGGTTATCTCCAAATTGATCTTTTCTGCATGAGCGTCAGTTTTAGTTTCCCGTGACGGGATAATGAACACCGAGTTCGTTTTCATGTTCCGACAATGGCAAGCTTTCTGAAGAAGTTTTATAATTTTTATCTAGGAATTGGTGAAGGCTCGCGACCCATTCTTGAGCGCGTGTTGAAATCAGTCACCAACTGCATATGTCCCATTTTCCATTGTGGATGTATGGTTTAACTTTTGAACTATGAGTGACAGATTCATCTGTTCAAAATCTGTTTTTCCGGTAATCAGCTGTTAATCTTCAATAGATTATCTATCAATAGGTAATGTCAATAAAGAACATGATATCATCAAGCAAATTGCGGTAAACAATGGGTTTAAAGCTGAATTATAAAATAAAATACTTTTCAAAAAACTCTACGCGAAAGCGATTCAAAACGTTTTTTCTGTTGATGAATTTGATAATCAAAATCAAAATTATAAATCTTCAACGTAGGGTGATTTCCATAGCTCTTTATTTTTTGGCATCAGTTCTGAAAAGATATATTGTAATAATACTACATCAATCATTTCAAAAGCGTCTACAATATTCATAACTTTCTAACGTTCCAACCATTTATTCAGACTAAAACTTTATAAAGCTGAAGAAAAGAATATTTCCAACGTCTCTTCGCTTTGAGAATATTGTGTCAATACCACTAAATACAAATATTTTGATGTCTAACAATTTCATGTGAATAGTGCATAATATCAAATTAGCCATATTGTTGAAAATGAGTTTTAACTCATCTTTATCACATTTTTTTGTCTTGTTTAACTAAAAACTACCCTTCGATATCAGTAATGATCGATATCAAAGATGCTTCACAAACCTTCGATATATATTACAAAGAAAATTTGAATTAATGATATATGACTGGCAAAATCGAAATTAATTAACGATGCATAATAATGACTAAATGTGGGGTGTATTCATTTTTTCATGATTGATGTTATTCATTACTGTGCAGTATAAGATATTCGAGATAAAGTTTCTCCCCACATTCGATTGGTATAACAAATAAATTGCTCATGGGTGGTAACGATAATATCATTCATTATCGCGATCAAATCAAATCTCACACCCTTGCTGAATTAGATTTTCCCTTCTTGAATGTATTAGAAACAGCGGAAGAGCATCAGGATTGAGGAGAAAAGGAAATGGTTTTTAACAACGTTAACATAAACGAATATGTTACAAATGGATGGTTATATAGACTTGCGGGTGATTCAATGATGATAATTATAACAATGAAGATGTATTTTGAGAGACAGTATTTAAAATAACTCCCCATGAATCCAATATACCCAAAATTATTATCTCCTGAAAAATCACATCAAATATCATCACAAACTCCGATAGATTTGAAGATGCTTGTGCATAGACTGTTGGTCAGTTTTACTTACCTTGACGATAGGATGATTTCGAATGTTTAAGCATGGCACAACATGCATCTGGACAGTTCTGAATATTATATGTTTTTGAACAAAACAGAAATCAGACTATTTCTCTTCAATAATTTTGACCACAACTTTGCACCGTTTTGAAACAGTTTATGACCAGACCATGACCACTGGAACGAACTAATGAAACAAACACACACAAAACAAACAAACAAAACCCAAAGCAATCACAAACAAAAGACAGGCATTTTCTTTCTATGGACTGACTAGGTGAGGTAAGGTAAGGCCAAAAGGAGGGGGGCCAATCCAACCCCCAACAAAAAAACCAAAGGTTTATTATGGCTCACACCTATTCACACCCGACCAAATGAACCCAGCTTCTCAACGAAGCAGACTAGTTACTATGGTGAGTGGTCTTTCAGGTCAGATGGTAAGAGTACGGCTCTGCCGGACTCTAAAAACCTTATTCGATCCCCAGCGGGGCAGGCACAAAGAATGTACTCTGCTGTTTCATCATTTTCCAAACAAAGGCGACACAAACTGTCTTCCGACAGTCCGAGTCTCTGCATATAATGATTCAAATGACAGTGACCTCTAAGAAGGCCTAATAGACATCGTAGTTCATCCCTACTGTAGTCCAGCAACTGTTTGGTATCAAGCTTCGAAGGGTGAATAAACGCCTTGGAGTGAGCCAATCCTGGTGTATTCTGCTAGAAGTCCATAAATCTTTTTGCCATCCAGGTGTTCAATACTTGCTTGGCAAAGCCCAAAGCGATGCCAATGACAGGTTCTGGTCCGATGAAATTCCCTGCAGCACCCTCCTTTGCAAGGGAGTCAGCAGCTTCATTGCCTTCCAGGCCAGTATGGCCAGGAATCCAGACCATGCAGAGACAATCTGTTAAGTCTTCCTATCGAGGAGAGTCGTTTTTGGCAATTTGCTACCAATTAAGACATTGCTCGGAAGAAGCTAAGAGCTTCCAATGCCGCTTGGCTGTTCGAGAATATTTTTATTGACTTGTTTGTGAGGTTGAATTCTTGCAATCTCTCCGAACACAATTCAATAGCGTAAATTTACGCTTGAAATACAGTCGCATAGTTGTATTGACTGGAGTCAAATGGAAGACTAAGGAATTTATTTTGGCTTGTCAGTATGGCATGTTTGATAAACTGGTTAAGCTTAGTCGTCCGATAGATTGAAGGTCCCTAATAAAATCAAATCTGTTACCAGGCACATAAAGCCACTGTGTATTTCCGGTCAGCTTGTTCAGGATATACGATCTGAACCCATATTCGTCGGCATAAGGCGGTCTCACACATCTTCACTAACTGCGATATTGATGCGACACCAATATTGCTTTATGCTCCAAAAACTATTGAATTTGTTATGAAAAATCAGAAGTGTTCCACCTCAAAGTACTTTTATTCGACACAGTTTTCAGCTTCAGGTGAGAAAAATATCGTCTGAAAGTGGCAAAAAAATCAAACAAAATATTTAGTTGTTCTCTTGTTGAGGCGAACCCTTATTTTTTTGCTTCATTTTTGAGGGGCGAAGAGACCACCACTCCATCATCGAGTTATCACTTCACTTCTTTGATTGCATGAGGAAAAACTGCTCACACTCACCAACCAACGTCATAACGCTTTTTGTGACGCGCGTTCAACCAAGAAGCCGTTATCAGATGAACTGAGTGGAATTGGCCGCGGTGGTAGTGCGCCCGACTTACGATCGGAAGGCCGTGGGTTAGATTCCCATCTCGACCAGATATTTTCCTCGAGAGAATTTATCTGGTTGAAGCTGAAATGATTCTTCAACCGTGTTAGGAATCACACGTTAAAACGTAAGACTTCGTTAGTCCTTAGCTCGCATAAGTTTCTCAACTTCTGAGAATTGTCGTTCGTATGGGGGCGACAGCTGATTAACAGAAAAACAGATTTCAAATAGATTTTAAACAGATACTGATGAAAGCACTTCATTTTTGACTTTCTCAAGTCAAGTGAGTTGAAATATTGTCATTCACATAGATGTGGATCAACACCGTTATTTTAACACCTCGACACGTGTTTCGATCATCAAGTGATCATCTTCAAGAGGAAGATCAATACACCCTTCTGCTGACGTAATTGTGCAATGCAGAACAACAAGAAATAGTTGCCAATTGGCAAACATTTTGCAAAATTGTGGCTCTCAACTTATAGATTGAAAAATGACAAAGTCATTTACAAATTTACTGTATGTGATTGATTTGGGTCGGTGCTTGATAAAAATCTGTAACTTATTCAACAAATACTTTATTGATATCCTTGTTAGTCTATAAAATAGCTTCCTTAGACGTGTTCATTTATTCCTGATTGATATTATAAAAAAATTATTCTTATAGTCTCATCATTTTCTTAATAAGAGTAAGAAGTAGTCTAAAGATTTTGCGAAGTCACAATCAATTTTATCCAATTTTTATACCTATATTATTTGTTGAGTCTGCATACTTAATTGTTTTTTTTTTTCAGAAAATGTTGTCAAATACGAAGCACCACGAGGAGAGGTTCGAGAACCAGATATCGATCTTGAAGACATAAGTTACGACGGTACCCTTAGTGGCAGGATGATGAGGGGTGGCCTTGGACAGCTGGTGGATGGACTCTACGGCGATGATGATTATCAGAAACAATTACAAGGCGAACACTCAGGTGATAACATTACTCCTAACAAATGTTCAATTTACGAAATTAATGATGGTCGATATGATATCAAAGAAAAAACCAAATAGGAAACTGATTATATCATGTGGTTCAGATGTGAAATATTTTTATATATCTAAATTAATAATCAATCAGTGAGATTCAAGTCATGATGAATAATTGATTAATATATAGACGTAGTCCGCGAAAGTAACTATCTCTGAGGGATAACCCACAATAACCTTTTTTATCCTCGTGAAATAATGGTTTATTTGCGAAGTGATTCCAAGCAATACAGCATCAGTCCTTATCCAATCAAGTGCGTTGAATACATTATGCATTCAATATAGATCAACATGGCCATTTAAAGCGTGTATTTCAAATGAATATTTTCGAAGATATCACAGATACAAAATGTAGGGACATAGCGGTTGCGGCGGTACCGACCAGGGGACTGGAGCGAGTGCCTACAAATACAAATGTAGGCACTCGCCTACAAATTAAAATGAAATTAGGCAAGTTTTCGAAGTATAACGTCAGATAATAATGATCCCAACAGGCTACATTTCTCAAGAGAATGGTAAATGAACTCTCAATCAATAAAGTCACAATAATATCGATTTCACACATTATTTGTCCACTCAAGAACACAAATCTTCGAGAAACTTTAAAGAGGTATGGTACACAGAAAACGAAAAAAAAACATCAATATCGGACAGAAAAGTAGATATTTCACAACATGTATATGCGAACACCAAAGTAATATAAAAGCTTGGAATTATTTGATATTCACCAACGCAACTCTTTTTATCACAATTACGTCCACGTCATCTTCGCAAGCTATTAAATCATACTCGTATTTTCAATAAAAGTAAAATATAACTGCTGTAATCTACAAACAAAATCTCTTTCAATTTCTTTGCTATAAATTCATCGTGACCAGGTTTCCTCGTGACCTGCTCTAATGAAATTCTTCTAATGTTTTATAAAATTTTTATTAATGTAAAAGACCTCCGGCGGTATTAATTATTCAAACCTAATTCACCAAAAAACCCATTTGCTTAACTTTTATGGTCGAGCTGGAACAATTAATCAACGTAAAAGGGGTCGTGCCTTCTTACTTTATTTTGGCTGATTGTTTTATTTATTAGCGACATTTTGTCTTCATCGTCGGTCTAGATCATTTGAAAACGAAATGAATTTGTCAGAAGTTTCAACACTTGGGTGGTAGGCGTTTCACTATGGATGGGTTTGAATAGTTCCCTGATTGACTGGTTGTAACATTTTTTACTTGATGTCTTCATTCGGTTCACGTCACCGATTCAGTTGATGCCACCCAGTTGGAAAGATTAAACAATGGGATTTCATTGTATGTTCAGAATATCAGAGTTTGATTTTGTATTTTCGACTCTTAATTATTTCGTTGAGAAACTGATTTGATTCGTCAATGATTACCGATAATAAAGTAATAATATGACAGATTATATAGTGCAGGGGGTGGGAGAAATAGTGACCCTCCATGCCTCTCAGGGGTTAAGTGCCCCAAGATAGAAGATTTCCCATACAGTTGATGTGTGCAGAAGCTAGAATCTCATCCATTCAACTCCAGTCACTTCCAGTCAGTCTTCAACTTGCCGCTTCAGTTCTGTTGTTGTTTGGTTTCCTGAAATATTAGATTTTGTTTGTATGTCTGGTTTTAGGTGTTGTTATAATCACCGGATCCCCCGGATGACAACTTTCGAAGGTGGTCTCTAGTTTTGATTCGTCACCCTCTTGTTTTTGTACATTTCGAGGATTCTGGAATCGACCCTCTCAAGCGCTTTGTAGAGATCATCCAAAGCTAGGTTGTGGTATGTCCAAATCCACTCGATGTTTCCAGTACGATTTCTCAGGAGAAATTCTACGTACTGGTGCTGAAAATGCAGGTCCTGGTAGATGTATCGGTTGAGAGGAGTGTTTAAGGTCATCCCCAGGCAGATGTTCATAAACTTTTTATTTGGAGCCGTATGTTTCTACGCCTTAACCCCATGCTATGGAGGCATATGAGATGATGAAGCAGACATGTATTGATTCTTGATCAGTTTCATTTGAAGATCCATATTACTCCTACGTCCTTTGATGGGCTTTTGCCAGTTCTACCCTCGGTATATTGTGGTACCTGAACGTTAGTCTTCTCTCGAAATTCCTCCAGATGTCTCACTCCGTTTGTAGGAGAATTGTCCATTGAGACAATATGTCCTTTAGACTGCGCCCTCCTCCAAATGAGTTCAAACATTTCATAGTTGAATCTATATTTTCGTTTCCTTTGAATATACAATCTTCATCAATACTGATATAGTAAATAATATATTAATTAGTGTCCTATTGCCATACACTTCGAAAATGATAGAAACTTCTCATTCAAATTCGTTCACCTAGAGCATTCACTTCATTCTATTATTTTTTATTAAATATTTTAATTTTCACTTACTTTCTCTTAGTAGCTACCTATATGAATCTAAAAATATATTTCCCTCAGTGGACTATCTTTCAATTATCAGAAGAGTAATAAAATACTAGAAGCAAACACAAGTTGAAAATATAAACAAGAACATTGAAACTCACTGACATTTCTCCATTTGTAGTTATTGTCTGTCTCCCCTTTCACCTCAATTATTGAAAAGCTACACTTCTAAGTCTCCTGGAGGAAAACAAAAAACACGGATAACAAAAAACATCAGTGTTCAGTCTTTGAGCTGCGAGATATTTCAGGAATTTTATTACAGCGGATCACAATAAAGTAACTTTATAACCAGACAACATCCAAAAATACGACAGTCTACGGTCTTTTTGTCAATCGGAAATTCTTATTTATTGCGACAAGATCAAGAAACGACTACACAAATTGTACAAAACAACATTTCACTGCATAACTTTATGTACGGCTCGACTGTTTACTGCAACAGGTGAATATTTGATTACCTCTGCGATCCAACGACGGAAAAGCCGTTTCCCCCCTTTTTTTTCTAGAAAAGAGAATAGTTGAATATGCGGAAACGTAAAGTTCCTGAATTTAAGCGAGTTCAAGAATGTTTCCAGTGGGCAGCGTAAAAAAATATTTTGTTTTATGTTGCTCATCTCATTACACATTGAGCTTGATTTAAAAATCAAGCGAAACTAAAATATAACACATTTTTATCACAAATGTTTGATTCTATCCAAAAGTTAAGCTCGTCTTGAGTAAAATTTTCACAGATCTCGTCTACGTAATACTATTTTTTTATAGTGAATCGTTTCAAAAAATAATTTTACTTAAATTGAAGAATATTTATAAAATCAAACTCGTTCGATTGATGACTTATTTATTTTGTAGAAATTCATGTTGAATATAGAATAAAGAAAATACTTTTGTCTAATTTCTACTGTGTTTATTTATTCGTTACGACCGGTTTCGGCTCATCAGGCCATTTTCAAGTAACAAGATTATGAGGATTATAAGGCCATTTTCAAGGTTACTTGAAAAAACACTAAAAAATTTCAATGTGGCTGTTATATATTATAGTAAACTCAAGAATCTTACTTGTGATGCACTGTTTGGAATCTTTGGTGTAGTAATGAATATTGCTGGAATTTTTCCCAACACCAAACCGTTATTTTAACACCTCGACAGGTGTTTCGATCACCAAGTGATCATCTTCAAGAGGAAGATCAAACTGAGTTTGCTGTTGGGAAAAAACTGCAGTATTATTCAAGAATCTTAGCCAGTTATTGTGATATATTACTGAAGATCTCGCAATATAAACATCAATGATAAATGTTTCAAAACAAATTTCACTATCATCAGAAAATTTAACAATCAATTAATATTTTGATGTTCCCTTCAATAACAAAATACACTTTTGTCAGTCTTCATGAAATTTTTTTTCAAGCAAGATTTTCAGTGCGTTACTTTTCATAACAATGAAATCAAAATAATCAAAAATTAATTATAAAATATTATATGCTATGAAAATTGTGTAAATTTTAATTTAGCAAGATACTAGATTTTGAATCTTCTGACCCTTGACACAGACCAATAATACGCGAGCTTAATGCACAGATAAATGCACTCTTTAATTATAAAGAATAAAAATATAATTAACTTACCGATGAAGCGATAGTGTGTTTTAGTGTAATTTCGCCTTCTTTGTAGGAGGCTGTCCACTTCCACTTTCTAAATTATGACTGTCAGACAACAACTATTGATTTTTTATTATTTTCAAAAATTATTTATTTAGTGAAACACAGGTTATGTATACTACAGTAAATACAACTATATACAATATAGGTATCCGAGCTCAGTATGGCGAGAGATATAGTGTAACGCCAAATCAGTGGGAAGAAAATCGCACACGATCTAGTAAATCAACGAAAAAAACAATTTCAGAATTATTCAATTATTGATTTCTTAGTAAAAGAAATATCAACAAATTTTCGTTCATCGCCATAATGTGACAAAGAGAAGAATTATATATAATAATATTTGATCTGCACAATGTGGTCATTATCTTCACCGAATTATATTTTGTTTGGCCGCACTCTGAAATATTACATTATACATTTTTGAATACAATAATAATAATAATAAGGTTCATGCACAGTACACAACATAAAAATTCATTTAATATACTTGAGATTTCAGCTTTTATCTTTCCCAGTAAAGGAGAAAAATTTCAAATACTCGTGATTAAAGCTAAAATAATCGAATTTATGTGCTACTTTTGAGTTTTTCTCTTCCTTTCGAATCTTTATGTCTAATAATGATAATGCAAAAGTATTTGCATACAGAACCTTTTTTATTTCTATCTGTATTTGTAAAGACAGAAATATGGGGAAAAGATGTATCTAGATTATCCTGGTATGACGGAATATTACTATGAATGGTCAAAGCATTTATGTTGAAAATACATTTTTGTTCAAATAACCAAATTTCAAATTTCAGTGCCATGTAGGAAAATAGTGCCTTGGTGTGAGGAAAGTGTTTTTATTGGATTCATCTTACATCACAGGTTTCAATTCTACTTATTAGTATCCATGATAATAATTTTGAACAATTTTCACAAACATTTTTTATTTTCAGGCGCGCTTTCTACCGAAAAAGCTATGGTGTTAGCAATACGTGTATACGAATAAAACGAATCAATGGACTTTTTACCGATATTTCATGTGATAATGATGTATCTATACGATTACCACATTATTTTTACACCCCTCTCTTTCGAAATAGTCATATTTTCTCGAAATCATACAAACCCCATCTACCCAACCATAACCTCCCTTATATCACTTTTCATTATACGGTTCGGCCTATTTGCCGCCAGATAAGCGTCGTGAGAACTTGTTCGAACGTGTCTCTACATGCCCCCGACGAATTTGAAGCCAGATCCGACGATAAGACGCGCCTAAACGGCGTTATCTGTTCGAAGCAGGACAAGGTTTGTCTAACCTATTGTCGAATATATGAATTTCAACAGAATTTTCGCAGGTGTTTGCGTTTTTTTCTCGTTTTTTTTTTCGAGAGGAATATTGAACGAAGCGTTTAGGCTTATCGTAGCAGTGTTAACAATGTTTGAGATCCGCTTTTCACACTTTGATACGGCCCGTTTTGCCTAATGGGTGTTTGAGTTTGCAAATGATTCAACACGTTTTACAATTGTATTTATTCTATGTACTTACCGAGTGAAACAGCTCTTTGGATTGCTACGATATTGAGTTTTGAAAAGTTGTGAATATAACTACAGTCAAATTTTGCAAAAATTTCTTACTCAGAAAACACTATTTCATCACACCACCAATCAGAAACATTGACATTTTCGAACTTTCAACAATTTTCTTCTCTTTGAAGTTTTCATAACCCTCGTATCTGAAACGGACATGAATCTGAACAAATAAATTATGTGACATAGTTCCATAGGACAAATGGCATGGAATTATCCAAAAATTTTCTGAATGTCCACTCTTCTATTCCCTTTCATTATGGTATACGAATTTTTGAATATGATAATGGTTCAAATTCGTGGGTTGCTACCTTGAAGTTTTTTTTGGTCTTATAGTTGGTGCCAGAGCCCTCAGTTAAAAACGATTCCATAAAAAGTCAGATTATGAATTTATCCAAAGATCTGTGAAGGTCAGATTATTCCTATGGATATGTTTGAAGATCTGTGGAGAATTTTGAAGCTTAGGACCCGAATATATCCATTGGACATATGTAATGATTGTTTAATTCTACTGCTAGGCTCGTCTGTTAAGGTCATTCTGGTTTTAGTTTTTTCACAACTGTCTTGGGCCTCTGCAAAGCTATAAACAGTTTGAAGTTCTCTATCTCAATTCTTCTTCTAGGCTCATCTGTTGAGGCTCCTAATGGTTTGGGTATTTTTTCTAAAATGTCTTGGGCCTCTGCGTAGATTATGAATAGTTATTAGTTTTTCTAGTAAGCATTTTGACAAGTGATAAAAGTTATGATCATGAGCTAGGCTCATCTGTTGAAGTAAGTACCTTCTGGTTTGATTTCTTTTTTTCTTCATCTGTCTTGGGCTCCTGTAAAGCTATAAACAGTTCGGAGTTTTCGATAGTTCTCTCAATTCTCCTGCTAGATTCATCTGTTGAGGCCTCTTATGGCGTGTGTACTTATTTTCTCAACTATCTTGGGCCCCTGCATAGATCATCAATAGTTATCAGATTTTCTAGTAAGCATTTTTGACGAGTGATTAGAATTGTGATCATTGTTTGATTCAACTGTTAGGCTCATCTGTTAAGGTCCCTTCTGGTTTGATTTATTTTCCTCCAACTGTCTTGGGCTCCTGCAAATCTATAAACAGTTTGGCGTTTTTGACAGCCCTCTCATCTCTCCTGCTAGACTCATCTGTTAAGGCCCCTTATGGCTTGGGTACTTTTTTCCTCAATTTTCTTGAGTCCCTACATATACCATTGAAAGTTTTTCTAGTGAGCATTTTTGACAAGTAATTAGAATTTATCAATATATCAACATCCTAAGAATCTATAAATAGAGTCACTAGACAAATATTTTTGTAACAAAAAACATATCGTAGAGACACCACTGTTTAGAAAATACACTTTTTTGGTTTTCTACTTCTTCATTTTCGAAAAAGTACTGAAAAATCAAGGACCGTAAACTGAAATTGTTAAAGGAAATATGCGTATCATTAGCAGATGTTTCATTTCGTTATTTTCTATCTTGATTATTTTATTCATTTCATTGCATTTCCATTTCAGGTTTTATTGCTTAATATAAATGATATTTCAGTTATTCATTTTGATTTTATTTGTTCTTCCATAGCTTCTGAAGCACAGTTAGACAATGAAATCAAATCAGGAGAATAATATTCAATGTAGGTTCATATTTTCCCCAAATTGAAATTTGATTGTTTTTTGATTTATTGACAACTAATTCTGATTTGAGTTCCTCGTTTCTCTTCCAGGTAGTAGATGGGTAGGATGGAACAATGACACGCACAACGGCAAACCCATCAACATCACATTCGAATTCGATACCGTAAGGGAGTTCAATGCGGTCCATCTCCATTCAAACAACATGTTCACCAGAGGAGTTCAGGTCAGTGAATCCTCTTAGTTAGCGACCTTTCAGTACGAACTCACTATTAAGTGATTGGGAATTTTCAAAAGAAGAGGTGAATGCTGATGCAAAGAGTTTCTTGCTTTCAAGGCTTTCAAATAATGGAATGAATATTCTAATCCGACTGTTAATGCACGAATGGATTCTCTTGGTTAATCTATACTCATAATATAAAAGTATGGGTGGGAGTATTTCATTTTTGGATGTTTTTTCAACGTCTTGCTGAAAGAAACATTAATAATCGGAAATATTTAATTTATTAATCACCAGGTTCACCGCAAAGCACTCAACTAATATTATATTATGGGAGTTATATATGAAAGAAAGGAAAGCGTCTTTAAAATGAACCCACTAGCCAACCCCAATGCAATTATTTCGTTTTCAACATTGAGGATTATGGAATGCAATATGTTACCAACATATTGCAACATATTCATCTCTTCGATTAAACAAATTCTTATAATTCCATCAAAAACATTAGATAGTGCATTCTCTTTCCAGGAAAAACCCCGAGAAAATCTTTACCACCAACGAGTGAATCTACGAAGTTTACTCTTTTCTCTCTCATAAACGAGCATATATAGATAGATATTCAGTTGAACCATACTCCATCAATTGTCGTATAGAAACTATATTCACTTAAGCGTCATTCAACTGTACCATCCAACGACAAAGTATAATGAAGAAACAGTACTTGGAATAGAATGAAATACTACTGCGAACATTTGAAAATGATGTCCATTCAAAGTACCTACATAAAGTTCAAAGCCTGGTAACAGGATATAGTATGTAATTGGTTAGTGAATTATTTCTGTTCAGATCATTCAAACCATCGTGAATCAGCATTAAACTGCAACTAGGTATATGTTTTACCGTGTCTCTTAGATCCCCAAAGCCAAGCAGAAATACTACGAAAAAAGCACGATCTTCTTGAAATTTCAATCATGAATGGCAGGAAATATGGCCCATTTTCAGCATAAGTAAAATTTCAAAATTTACTGAATATTTGTTTTTCATTCGAGAATGAAATTTTTCCTCAGTACCTTTAACAAAAAAATAGATAAAAAATAGTGAGCCAAATATAAAGCCGAAAGAAATCCCATAGCTCTTGTGATCAAGAGGACTAACCAAGAGGGTAAGCATTTATGAATAACTCTGGATATAAACATATATTTCCTCGTCACAATATAGTTGGTAATTTTACTGACTGGAAAATTGTGGTACCCATTGCCAATCGACAGAAAATTGATGCCATTTAGGAATATGTAAAACTCTTTCTCGTATTTTATAACTATACAACTGCCCTTTAGTAGGAAAGGATGTATATAAGAATTGTTTTTCCCCGTCGATTTACCAATAATTGACTACAATAAACAACAATCGAACTCAATTTCATTTCACTATCAATAAGACAAAACACTTTAACTAAAACTTTAACTATCATTAAAATTTCTATCGCCCTATTAAATCGCTCCGTACGATACTGTCCGCGAAACTTGACTGTCCCGAGAGGCGAGTGAATCGCGTTTATATGTGGCAATCGAAGGCGGTTGAAAATTCCTCGAAATGCCATCGACGCCGATAGCATTATTCTCGCCACGTCTAGAATGGCTGCGAACGTAGGCGCGTTCTCAACTACGTCACAATTGATTTATGGCTACCAGTGGCGGCCGACGTTATTTTCTTTAGTACTGCTTGTAAAAGTTTGAATTTACCTAGAGCTGGTCATATGGGATCTCACAAAAATATTTATGTTTCCTTTCAATGTCTCTGCATATTCATTGGATCCTTATCTCCGGTCAAAAAAATGTATGTTTCAGTTATTATTGATTGATTTACCAAATATGTCTCAGTTTATCCGGGGTTTACCATGAAGAGAGTCATAGTTACGACCGCACCGGGGGGCCTGGGGGGCCGGTTAGGCCCCCCAGACGCACCCTGGCGTTGGATGCGGTCGGGCGTGGTGGGGTGGATTTTCGGGAAATCCTTGCGGGTACCGCCCCTCGCCCACACCAACAGGATTTCGCAGCGCTTCCTTCCGCTACACCGAACCCGGAGTTGCCTCCTTACATCTGTTTAGTGTGGCTAACCAAGAGACAGGACCATCGGCAGCGTTCGACCGAACGTTCGTACAAGTTAACTGAGCTCGTCTTTCGCCAGAGAGTGCTCGCGTCGCACACCTGCCCCCACCAACCATGCCAAATCAGTTGTATGTATTACCGCAACCCTGTATCCCTTTACCCGCTAGTGAAGCCGCTGCCCCTAAGAGGCCAACGCCGGTTGGAGATGAGGCTCGCTAGCCTCCAGCCGCGAGCGGGCACTCACCTCCCCCTAGAACTCATGTTAGGAAACCGGCCAACGCCTGTTACCCGCAGGTGCGGGATTGGGTGGTTGACCGATAACTTTACTGGGTGAGTGCCGTGTGGTCTGCACCGGGGGCCTGTCAAACACCCATAAGAGAGAGACAGTGGTTCCCCCGCCACTCACTAAAGCTACCTCATACGATATTATCAAGTTCATAGGAAACAATGTTTTTTTTATTTATGGAGTACCTCAAATTTTTGTCGTTGACAATGGAAGTCAATTTATCAGTATAGAATTTGAGATATTAACGGTGTTTGAAGTATTTTTGAAGCATTTTCAAAACCAAGCAGTTTATACGAAAAAACTTTTTCTAGAAGAGGTTGACTTCGTACAGAATGAAAAGATACAGTTATCAAGATTTGAAGGAATGGCAAGTGATTCAGATCACTCAAACCAACAAGAGTAGCTTGGAATCAAAATAATCGATCACTATAGTAAGATTTCATTCTGGAGATCAACTACACTGAGTATGTCAAAGATGAAGTAAATATTAACAACTGTTGAACTCGTAGGGGATTTTTTTAATGAGATATTTTTCAACCAGAAGTGTGTTTCGCATTGAATCAAATTCAATTCACATAATGAAATATAGTTCAATATACAGTTTCATAATTTTAGATGTATGTTGACTAGTTTTTGAACTATTTTCGAAGATTTCAGTTAAGATGAACGTTCAATGAAAAACATTATCGTTTGGAACAAACCTTAAAAGCACTGATTTGGGGTCTGAAATTTTGAATAGAATGATATTGTTGTGAATATCCCCTAAGAAAAAAATAACGCGACCGCCGCTGGCCGTCGTAAGACAACGTGGCCAGAGCAGCCCAGCCGGCGTTTCGCGGTTGTTTGATGTTTGCGCCGTTTCGATGGAATTCCGTCAAATATTCTATCGGCTTCGATGAATTTCTGAGGAATTCTCGACCAGTTTGGGGATAGTTCGTTTGCCACATATAAACGCTACCGACAAGCATATCGATATAGTCAAGTTTCGCGGACAGTGCAGTGCAGAGCGATCTTGTAAGGCGATAGACATTTCAATAATGGCTGAAATTGTTTTTTTATATTGATAGTGAAATAGAGTTGAATTCAATTATTGTTCAGTGTAGTCAATTATTGGTAAACCCACAGAAAAAACCTGACAATATTATTTTCAATTTTGTATCACTTTTACTCTGATTATTCTGAGTTAGTGGATGTTGTTATACGGTTTTTTGATACATTTATAATATTCTCACAGCAAAATCATCCCTCTAGGAGTGGTACTTAATATTTGGATTTGATATACTGATAAAAAATGTTTAATGATAAAATTGACAACCAGTCTTCAATTAGAGTAATAGCAACTGAATGCCAAGATGTAGCCAATTCGTAATTCATTTTAGCTTGTTACTAAATGCATAAATGATTTTCAATTTCATCAACTTGGCATAATTTGAGCTACAAAATAGGATATTTGAAATAAATATCAAATAACAAATAGTGGGTTTGAGTGAATTAAATAGATGGTGTGGTTCAGTAGAAATTGAAGATCAGTTAATATTATTCATAGCAAAAAATAGTTTCACGAATAAATAGATTCGAGTTGCTTGAAGACTCGACTAAATATTCATGAAATTAGTTTGTAGTACCTCGCCTTATTGGTTATGTTCCCCCTGAATAAATACACTCGAGCAAACAATTATAACCTCTCCTTGATAATAATGAAAAGATGTATTCGTCGTCCTCGAAATCCCACTCATCTTTCGCTTTCTTATCCAGTTGGGACTAACAAAGAATGGGAATGATGTCATTAATGAAGTCTCCGACGACCTGGGAAATATAATGAAATACATCCAGAATGAAATATTATCTACCTATAAAGCGAATGAAAACAAGAAAATTGGAATTGAACCCTAAACGAACCTCATCTTTTCCTGTCTCGAACAATAACTCACCGAAATGAAATTTTACTTATGCTTTCATAAGCGAAATACCCTGCAATATATCGCGCATTCGAAAATAAAGTTGTATTCCTCCATTACCTTGTATTTTAATGCCCCCGGGCGGTCCCAACGCAAAGAATTTGATTGAATAAAAATCCCCATTCTATTTTAATTTAAATACTGAGTTTTTGTGCGGGAAACAAAGCGTTTTAATCCAAAACAACCGACTGAACGACGCAGTTGTTTTTTTCGAAACCTGCAGCTACAAAACAAAAACCAACTCTGAATCAAAGAGGTGCGTGCCATCATGGGGGCGACGTTGGATGAATTTTTATTATTACTGTTCATTAAGTTATCTAAACTGTGGACTGAAAATGTTGAAATTATAGTTAATTTTGACCGACTTCAAAGAAGGAGGTTATGAATTCGAAAAGTATGTTTGTAACATCATCCCAGATAATAATTCATTACGGCTTCAAGACAAATATGCTAGTCATTTTCTCAGTTTCTTCAACAAAGTTTCCTTTTATTCCACTTCTCCCAGCGATGCTCCCATCTCATTTACCAGGCGAAAATGTTTGTCCTCCGAGCGCAATTTTTAGATGAGGGAACAAAAAAAAGTCGATTGTAGCTAGATCTGGTGAGTAAGGCGGATGGTCAAGCAGTTCAAACCATAATTAGTGGATTTTCGCC